AGAAGATGCTAAGGACCCTTGTTGCTTTGCCACCTTCTTCCCACCATGAACTGTTTCTCCTCTGTGATGCCCCTCTGCCACGCCACCCTGCCTTGGAGCTAGGTGACTATGGACGGAAACTTCTACAAACTGTGAGCCAAATAAACCTTTCCTCCTTTAACTTGGATATCCAGTATTTTGTCTCAGCAATGAGAAGAGTAACTAAGACAGATAGTGAGTCATTACTGAGATCTATATTGTTTCCCCACTCACAGCTCAGGTTTTTGTGTATGAATGCTGAATCTTGTCTCACTTTTTCTGTTGGGCATGGTCCGTCCTAGGTGTCCATGCTAGCGCTATATTCATTACAGCTATTCCCAGTTTCTGTGTTCCTCTGTGCAAAGTCCAAGTCATGGCTCTCTCTACCTAACTTTGAACCCTGTGGGTTTGTGAGCTCTAGCCCGCCCCCCACCCCTCCAGAGGCCCTTCTGTCTGTATACTCAAGGCAGTGGCAAGTGTCCAAGCCAATATCCTTGATCACATTGGCAGATGGAGAAAGCAAACAGACGAGCTCTGTGTTGGATGTAGGCAGTGGTGTGGGTGGGGTCAAGAAGTCCGCTGGGCTTAATACCAGTACTTTGAGACTCAGCCTCCTCCAAAGCCATACACAAGCTGCCTACCTTCTCAACTCAGAGGTCGGGGTCCCTGTGTCCTTCCAGCTTGAGCTTCAACTTCTCAGGGGGTCTATGTCTAGACGGTGCCCTCTCTATGACTGCCTCTTATGGCCATCTTCCACCACCCAGCCACTGTGGTAAGGTGACCCCAGAGACCTTGATGTATAATTGTTCCATTGCTCAGTCTTAAACAATTAACCCCTTTCCAAAATGGCTCCTGATTAAAGATTCCCAAAGATGGTGGGCACTGCAGTGAAGTTCTTCTCCAACTCTAGCCTGACATGTGGAAGGAGTCATTTTCAGAGTAAAACCTCATGCTGGTTTTTGCAGTTTACAATAACTGTGGACTTTTCTTGGAGCTAGTGCTGCCAGCCTGGTCTGTTGTTTCTCTCTGGAGCTGCTGGCCCTATCTGGACTTACCTTGTGTTAGCAGAGACCCATCCCTTTGCCCAGGACCCAGGGTCAGCTTTCCAGATTGATTTGTTCTTTCTTCTCTGTGGTTCTCTGTTTCTCCAGCTTATGTGCCATTTCTCAATTTCCTGTCAGCTCCCTCCCTACTCCTCTCTCCAATGAGTTAATGTTTTCCGGGTGTCTTGCAGATTCTGGAGAGGCTGTCACAAATGGTCTTTGATGCTGTCCCTGAAGTGGCAGGTGTGTACAAGCTAAGCTGTTGATATTTTGTCCTTTCTTAAAGAAGAGGTCAAGGATGTGAGATTTCTGAGACTACATCACTACATCTAGTAGCTGCCTCCATACTCTTTTGTGGGTCATTGACTTTGGGCTAGACAGTCCTGTATTGTCAGGTCGTTCAAGAAGCTCTGTGGAGAAGAGCCGAGGCCACCCCACCATGGCCAGTGTGGAACTGAGGTGTCCTGCAGATAGCCCTGTGGTGACCACCTTGGATGTGAATCCTCCAGCTCAGTCCTGCCCTCAAGAGATCTCAGCCCTGGCTGTCATTTTCACTGTAACCCCACCAGAGACCCTGAGGGTCTAGTTGTGGCACTCAGCTTCCAGACCTGCAGAAACTGTGAGGCAGCAAGTGCTTTGTTGTTTTCAGCAGCTAAATTTGGGGGTCAGCAGTAGATAGTTAATTCAATGTAAGAGGAGTCTGCTGCTGTACTCAGCTCTCAGCCCTCCATGTATCCACAAGCCCAAGCCATAGCAATGCTTTTTGCACTTCTGAACAATGTAATGGGTGGAAGAAGAAATTGAGAGAAATGAAAAAGAGACAAACAGAAGTGTACATACAAACAAAACAAAGAAAGAGGACAGGCAACCTACTAAAATCTGTATCTCACTTTTTTCTTTCCTTTAAAAAAATTGAGACAGGGTTTTACTTCATTGCCTCGGCTTGCCACAAACTCCTGGGCTCGAGAAATCTTTGTGCCTCAACCTCCTTAGTAGCTGGGGGTATAGGTACGTGTCACCAGGACCCAGAGATATATCTCGATTTTTAATCAGATGTAACAGTGTTATGGCTTGTGTCTAGAAGTCCCCCCAAAGCCTCATGTGGTCATAGGTGGGGCTTTTTCAGAGGTGGCTGGTCTAGAGTGTGTGATGTTGGAATTGATTCATGGTGCAATGCTAGACTCAAGGGCATTAGGATTAAGGGTGTGAGTGTTACCTGCTCTAAGTAGCCTGGTTAAAATAAAAGGGGCAGAAAAATGCTGTTAATGTCCCTTGCTTGTTTTGCTACCTTCTGCCTGCCATGAACTGTTTCTTCTCTGCAATGCCTGTATACCACCCACCTTGCCATGGAGCCAACTGATTATGGTCTGAAACTTCTACAAACTGAGAGCCAAATAAACCTTTCCTCCTTTAACTTTGGGTATTGAGTATTTTGTTTCAGCAATGAGAAAAGTAACTAACACAACAGAAAAATATTAGAAAAGAAGATGATGTAGTGATTTAGATGCATAGGAGTTTAGTATAATTATTAGGATCAGGAACTCTGCCATTTTAGCTGAATGGCCAAAGGTAAATTATATAACTTATTTTCATTATATGGAGATATTAATAATTAATACCACATAATTTTACATAATAAATGAGCTAATACACACTAAAGACTTAGTAAGGTAGCTGGCAAGTAATTTTAATTAATGCTCATGTTATTATTAACATAAATATCAGTCTACTGGATCATTGATACATAGAAACAGCTGATAAGTAGGAAGTATGGAACCGAGGTGTGGTGGATTAACTAATGGTCAACTTCGGACCCCAGCTGAACTGAGTCAGTGTGGTTTAGGCGTGGAAGATCCACCTGAGGATTGTTGCTGACGGCATAAGAAGAGAAAAGAAGGGGAAGATCATGGGCTGTTGATTTTTTAGGAGAAGCTTGCTGTGGTTGGTTCTTCTTATGCCAAGTTGGCTGTTCTTAATGTAGGAGGACCTCGGGACCTCGCTGTCACTGGGAATGGCTGCTGTTCTCGTCAGGGGAGCTCTGATCTTCACCGTGAGCATCACTTCCTGGCTCCAGTATAGATCCCTCAGCCTGTGGCACAAATCCTTCACCCCCTGGAGCAGGTTTTCTGGCTTCCACCACTGGCCTTTGGGCCTTCCCAGTGCAGATTCTTGAGATGGACAAGCATGAGACATTGCCGTGGGCTCTAGGCCTCTGGCTGGACTCATGGAAGACATCGCCGTGGGATCCAGGCCCTCAGGTGGATTTTGGGTCTCTAGTGTGTGGACAGATCTATTGCCCTCCTCTGCATTTGACTTTTTGGGTAAATATTATAAAATAAACCTATAAATCATGTGTCCCGTATTAAATCTATTCCCTTGCAAACCCTGACTACAACACAATATTCCTTGAGATTAATCTGTGATCAATTCATGGGGTTTAAAGAGTTGGATTTATAGAGTAGTTCAAAAAACTTGAAATTCAAACATCTATAGAATGTTAGATCATTGAACCCAACAAAGCAAAAATCCTGAAAAATACTCTGTTTCTGAACTTATTGAAAAGAATAATTCCTATTGCAGGAAATGGCAATAATAATACCTTATAGTATGCCTGATAAATTATACTTAGTATGTACTTACAAATGAACATATACCCACGAACTCAAGGTAAGTGCTCAGTAAATTGCAACTATTGTTACCATTGGCTGTGTAGCTCTTGCAGATGTGTTTCTGTTTCAGATGCCCACGCCCCTTGAGTGAGTCACTGCCCTCCCATGGGCATTAGCAGGCGTTGCCTGTCAGTGAGCCCTCCAGGCTGAGGGACTCGTGACTTTTTTATTTAGCTGAAGAGAGACAGCTTCCGACCCTTCCTCCTCATCTGAATCAAGCCTCCATTCTTAACCTTAACCTTTCATCTCAGAATTTCTGCTTTGATGCTTCCCACTTCCTTCCTATGGTTACTTTAATCGAAGTGAGTCAGGTCTTACTAAAAAAATGACCACGGGCAGTCAGCTCCCACCGCTCTTGGCCAGTGCTGCCTGGGAGCAACATGGGAGGGGTTGGGGTTTGCTCGGCCTGTTCTTTCCCCTTACCCCACAAGTCACGGGCTTTGTGCAGGGCTTCCCCAGCCACGGGGCCCCCAACAGACCTCAGTCAGAAGCCAATCTTATGTGCCAGGTGCCTCAGGGAGGGGACAAAAAGAGTGGCTGCTCGAGTCCTTGGGGACCCTACTGAATGGACCAATTTGCCTATATTCTAGTCTCTCAGATCTAGCCCTGTTGCCTCTGATCTCAGCTCAAGAGGACTTGATAGGAGACTTTGGTTGTTATTACCAATAGCAACCACCTTCGGTCAGTGGGACCTTCTCTTAGTGCTGGAAGCCATGCTAGCCCTTTCTCTTGGTCATCAGGATAACCCAGGCAAACTTGCACTTATGCTCTGGATCTTTTAAGATTGAAGAAGCAAAAACAAACAAAAACTTCCCAATCAAATGGCAGTAAAACATGTCCCTTCCCTAGCTTTCTGATTTTTGTATGTACAGAGTCACCTTTTGTAGCCTTAGAAGTCAATGCAATCAGCAGTAGTGGCGCACACCTGGAATGCCAGCACTCTGAGAAGCTGAGGCAGAAGGATCACAAGTTTGAGCCCATCCTCGGAAATTTGGCTACCACAAAAAAAAGTCAGCATGCTCTTTAAGGGTTAGGGTTGCATCTTAAAGGATGGGGGTATGGGGAGGCCATGGCAGTGTTTGCTGTTGGCCTTAAAGTAAGAATCCTGATCGTGCTTGGAGCTGCCCCTGTCTCCTGGAGAGGTGCAGGCTCCCTTTTTCTGGAATGTGGAATACATTTCCTCGATCTCTTCTGTCTTCTGGAAGCTTTGAGTGGACACTTTTAGTCAGACAGGACTCAAAGGACACCACAGCATGATTTGAATAAAAATCCATTTATTTTTTTCAAAATTAAAATCTGCTATGAAGACAGACAAATAATACAACATTCCCAGAGGAATTGGATTACTTCTCGTTAAAACTGAGTTCTATTAGAACCAACTTACGGCCATTATAAATAACACGCAAGCCACAGCTTTCAAAACGGAGCGGCTGGAGGGTGAGGTCAGAGGAGTCCCTCTGAGCTGCTGGAAAGCTAGTTATCAAGAGAGCTCCCTGGTTTCTCTGCCTAAGAGGGGGCGAGTCTCTGCAGGGCTCCCAGAGCCCCAAGACGGGCGGGGCGTAAGAGAAACCAGAGGGAGGCCATGGAAAAAAGCTCAACAGCTAGAAAACAACGTGGTCCTGCTTGGAATGGAAGCTTTCATTGGCGCCCCCCAGGAACATCTTTTTCCTTATATAAATTACAAATGTCCACAAAACACTCAAATACCATAGTGTGTTACCCTAGGGAAGCTTAAGACAGGTGAAAATAATAAATACTGAACCAATTATAATATTGGGCTTCTTTCTAAAGAGTTCACAAAGAAGCTCAGTAAATAAATAAGAATGGGTAATAAATATTGTAGGAGAGAGGGACAGTGGGGTTCTCCAAGGAGCTGGTCCAGGTGGCCCAGAACCCTGGACTGGCTTTCGGAGATCTCCAATTTATCACTCCGAGTCCAACAGAGGCACCATCCTCAGTGCTTTAGTCTGCTGCCTTCTCTGTCATGTAGGCTTCGATGTAGTTGATGAAGATGTCAAACTCACTCATGGCTTTGTAGACACCTTTCTCCTGGAGCTGTGTAGGCAAATAAGAAGCACATGGTTGAAACTCTACCAGAGGACCAAGGGACCGTTCTTGCATCAGCTGGGAACTAAATCCTGGGAACATGATGATATACCGAAGGCTGTGCCTGGACTTTGGCTCCACACAGCCTTGAGCGCAGCCAGTGTGTAGAAGGAGGAGCACTCAGTCTGTGCACCAGGGCCTTCCAAATGTGCTGTTTCAACCTTTTTAAAGGTCATGTGTTCACTTGGTGCTTATGCAGAATTTGATGAAAAGATATTAGAGGAAGCAGTTTGAAAGCAAGACAGGGAGGCTTTTTGACGTTTATGTTCACCCAACAGCCGGAGCAGACCCTGCCCTGCCACCTGGCCCGCTGTCAGGGCATTCCTGCCCCAAAGATGTTGGAGCCTGCCCCGTGTCTGTCCGCAACCCAGGAAGAGGACATAGGCCACATGGCTTCTGAGAAACTAGGTATAAGAGTTCGCAGGCAGTTGGACGTGTGAAACCCCATTTGATTTGGGAGTTAGTGTTCTCAGGCACCTTTGGAGGTGTGAGGGGCAGATGGAAAGTGAACCTGAACTAAGTCTAGGTAAGTGAGAATTCTGCTTCCTGCTCATTGTGAGTTTGGGAGAGTCCAGATTGATCCCCAGACGAGTCTGTGTGTGCACATGCACGTGTCAGCTTCCTGCACGTGTCAGCTTCCTGCACGTGTCAGCTTCCTGCACATGTGGGTTCAGCCTGGACTCCCAGCAAGCACTTTCTGAGCTTTCTGTTTCCTTCGTCACTCTCCCCAGTGCCCTGCTTGCAGTGTTCTTAAGCCGGCTGGCTGGTCCAAACCCAAAGCCTGCAAAGGTGGGGAGCAGTCATTCAGAAACCCCAAAGACGATTTGCAGACAGCAAGGAGAAGTGAGGCAGCTGCTCCTCAGTGGCTGAGGGGCCACACCACGCCCCAGGTCCTCACACTGTCTCCGCAGTGCAGGAGGGCTGTGGCTCGGTCACCCTCTGCCCTCGCCCTCGCCCCGGGGCCTCGGCCGCGTTGGTGTCAGGGTGTCAGCGTCAGCGTGCGCTCCGTGCTTACCTTGCTGAAGGCGTCCTTCACCTGCTCCACCGCTCTGCTTTTATTTTCACAGGGAAGGAACCGGTGCTGCGTAGGAAAAGACAGTGTTGATGGTGGCTCCTGCCTCCTCCTTTCCGTAGTAGTTGTGAGACAAACTGGTAGCTCGAAGCGTGGCCAGATTCATCCAGAATGCGGGCCCCCAGGCCTCCCAGGGAGAACCCGGCCCTGGCCAATCCTCGCCACTACCCCACGACAGGCGGGAAATAGCCAGGGACACGAAGTGTCCGCCTTGGGAGCTGGCGAGGCTTGGGTGCGAACCCAGCCGTGGCTTCCCTCCCAGAATCCCTGCTTCCTGTCTCATCGCTCTCCTTTAATCTCCAGGGAGCACTTTTAAGTGTCTCAGGAATGGAGACCCAGTCGCAGTCCAGGGACCAGACCTTGTGCATAGCCTCGTTCTAGAAGCAGATACCACCTGACTTTCCGGTATCAGTGAGAGGGGAAGCGCCCATCAGTGGTGCAGTGCCACTTCAGATGGAAAAGCAAATGGTCTGGGGAGTTATTCACAGACTCACCCTGGGGACAGGAGATGCTGCCCTTCTGAGAAACCAGGGACAGTCCTGGGAGGGGGGTGTTCTCCCCTAGAGGCTCTGCTTTCCAAAGAGTGAGAGGTGGGAGGTGTCCCCTCCCCTACCTGGGGGCCTCAGCTCCCAGCCCAGGGCCTGGATCCAGAGAGTGCTGGACTCGGTTCACAAAGAGAGGGGAGTTGCTAATAACCCACAAGTGACTCACAAATAACAGGAAAGCTGTGTGCAAATCTTCACATGGAAATGCCTAGCAGCCACCCCCACTCCTGCCTAGAGAGAAATGAACAAGAGATCTGACTCCAGTGCCCTGACAGTCTAGGTCTGCGTGTGTCTCTGGCCGTGCCTGGCCTTGCTGGGCCACAGGAGATGGGACACTGGGGTCGGCAAGGAGAGGCCTGGCCTGCTACTCACACAGCGCCGCAGCTGCAGCCTGAGAGTCTTGAGCTTTTCCCCCAGGGAGTTCACGTGCTGCTTGATGTCTGGGTCGTGATTCTCCGCCTTGGGCATCACCTCCACCAGGTAGAACTGGATCATCTCCGACAAGGCTTGGCAGCCCAGGTAACCCTGAGAGCAGGAGCCAGAGGGATGGGAGTGGTGTGAGGAAGAGCTGCTGCAGCCAGAGGGGACAGCTTTGTCCCTAGCGACCTCCTGAGCCAGCTGCCTCCCCAGGGCTGAGCCCTCTGTAATCCTGGCTGTGGGCAATGTGCTGAGTTAAGGTCTTCCCATTCCCACTTCTCCCTTTCAAAGCGAAGGAAGCAGACCCAGCTCCCTGCAGGCAGAAGCAGCCTCCCTTCCCTGATAGTGCTACACATTTCCCACTCACTGCCCAGCCTCACCTTAAAGTCCTCCAGCAAAGACTGGCTCAGCAGCGTGTTGTCCAGTGGATCCTTTGTTTGCTGCAAAAACAAAAGGCAAGTGAACAGGAGGCTTGGGGGAAATCCCTGAAATGCTGTGTCTTTCAAATACCTTTTTTTGTGTACTTTCTAATTTGTAATCCATGTTGCCCTGGCCCAGAAAATGAAAAGAGAAATTTTAAAAAGAGGATGCAATGTACTGCAATCAGTAGTTAAATCAGATCCACTCCCTTGGGACCAGCTTATTTAAAAATTTTGGCCAGTTTGGATGGGAAGGCAGAAGCCTGGCTCAGTCCTGGCCATCCTGCAGAGCCACTTCCGGCTTGAAGGAACTTCTCAGACTAACTTTCCAGGGTTAAGCCCCTGTGTGTGCCCTGCTTGCTGCTTTGCCTTTTGCCTGCTGTGGACCTCCAGCTCCAGCACTAAGAGTGCTCTGGGAATGGAAGCACTTCCCAAGGCCAGTTCCCCCATGCATAATGCTGGCCTCAGCCTCAGAATTTCTGGTCTAGCGATTCTCCCAGAAGAGGCCCTGCATGTTTTCCTGCCCCAGGATAAGGCAGAGCATCTTCCCCTCTGATCAGACCTGTCTTCATTTCTCTCAGCCAATACAGTATCGAGAGCCAAGGAATCTTAGAGAAAGTTTCTGAGCAAAGGAGAGACATTGCATTTGCCTTGTAGGCGGCTTTCCCTGCACATTTGCCGCATAGTCTAGGGGTAGCTTAATTCACTAAACTTGTGTCTTAGTCTGAGACTCTCTAAGAATTTAAATCTGAGGGGTATGAGTGCTGAGGATGGAGGGGAGAGGAGGAGGAAGATGAGAAAGATTCTTATAGCTTCAGCAGAATGGCTACTTCAGGCAGTCCCAGGAAGAAGGAAGGACAGGAGGGCATGATACTCACAAAGAAAGTCTTCACTCTGCCAAAGGCAGCTCGGAGCTCTTGGAGCATGTGGGGCAGGCCGGCTGGGAAGCGGGTGCAGGAGTCCTTAGACTGGGTGTCCATGCCTTGGCTGGCCCTGACCCCAGCCAGTAAGACCAGGCAACACAGCAGTGCTGAGCTGGGCATGGCGGAACTGCCTCCTTTTGCAAGGCTGCCTTGTGGTTTGGCTTTGCAAGAACAAGCCCCTGACGTGCAGCCCTTCTCTTCTTGTGTCCCTCTTTTATACTGTGGGTTCAGTGAGGCCTCCCCATTGATGAAGCCACAGACTCATATTTCCTGGCAAAGGTTTTTTTTTGACTCAGGCCCCTCCCTTCCCTAGACCTCCCTAATTTTGTATTTGTCGAACTTATATTTTAAAATTTTTGCATCGTAAGCAAAAGGACTCAAAATGAACTTCTGCATTATTATAGCTATTTTTAGAATGGACTATACCTCTCTTTTTTTTTGAATAACTTTTCAGCTTCTCAATTAAAAAAACAGTTGATTTCCTGGGGAGAGCAGCTGTCTGTACGCAGAGGCCCACAGCTGTGAGTTCCATTCGCGTGCTCCTAAGTCACAGTGACGTGGACACACTAGCCATCCCAGAGTACACTAGGATTGAGAAATCACCGGGCCTCCCCTCGACCTGTGTTGAGTACCCAAGACTTCTTGTCGACTTGGAACGTCACCTTAGCTCCCTGGGACTCAGTTTCTCCAAGGCGAAATGAAGGGTTAGATCCTCAAAGCTCCCTTCTAGTTCTTCCGTTTTATGTTCAAGGACTGTCCCTTGAAGAGACTGGGTCCCTCTAGGACAGGCAGGGTCAGAGATGGGCTTCCGTTCCCTCTAGAGCCCTGGCCTCACTGTAATTCCCAGGTTCAAGTTTCCGCTGCCTCTGTTCTCTCGCCCTGGCCTGGGTAGCTGGGAAGTAACACTCCACTTTAGGGTGAGTGGATGGAGGCTCAGAGATGTCATGTCACCTGGCTGCCGAGGGAGGGCAGTGCCCTGCTCCCCACAGTCCCTGTGGGTGGAAGGACATGGGACTGGGTTTCTTTCGCGTCTATGACTGAAGCCTACAGCTTGAGAGATGGGGAAGATGGAGCAGAAATAACAAGGAAACCCAGCCAGCATTCCCTGAAGGTGGGATGGAAGGGCCTTTTCTTTCCGCTTCTCTGTCCCCCTCCCCATCCCAAAGAAGACCTAGAAACGCAGCCTCAGACTTGCACGTGTGCGCGTGTGTGAGAGGTGACACCTCACCCTCATTTAGGGAGCATCGGGGCAGGGAGCTCAGGACTTGTGCAGAAGCTGGGAAAGGTTCTGGGCTCTTGGATTGTGCATAGACTCCCCCTCCCCTGCAGCTGCTGCAGGGGCTTCTCCCACCACCCCAGTCTACAGAGCCACTGGGACTCTGCCCTGGATTTGCCACTTTGTACGCAGGGCAAGTCACCATCCTTCCTGCATCTGTTTTCCATCTGACCTGGGGGGCAATGGTACCTGTCCTCTGCCTGCCAGGGGGCTTTGGACCGTGGAGTGCAGCCCACAGTGTCTGTTTCCTGCGGGGCACTGGGCATCTCTGCTGACACCAGGCTCTGCGCCTGCCCCACTGGAGGACACTGTTATGCCAGAGCAAGGGAGGGGCGGTATCCTGGGTCCGGCCAGTCCAGAGTGAGCAGGAGGGAAGGTCGAGGGGTCAAGGTGCACCTGAGAACTTAACCTGCTGTGGTGACTTGTGGATCCGGAGCTGGGGACTGTGGCCTCTCCTCCCAATGCTTTGGGCAATGTTGTCACAAAACAATTGTCAAGGGAAAAAAGAGGCTTCCAGAAACTGGAATGGACCTAAAATCAGAATTGCTGCTCCTGCTAGAGTCCTACCGTGCTGAGTTCTGTATCGGCAACCGAAGATAACCCTGGGGCTGGGGTTCCTACCACGTCAGTCTTTCTCTTTCCCTCCTGGCTCCTGGTTTTCCTGGGTCGTGTCAGCTGTACCCACTAGGATCTGAGTATTCCCGGGATGGATGTGGCACTGCAGATCATCAGGCCAGGGTCTGAATCCCAGGTGGGGCTGTAGCGCCTCCCTGACCCAGGCAGCATGGTTCCCCTCCATGGGTTCCCTATGGTGCCCTGTGCTCACCCCACTGTGAAATCTGCAACCCTACTTCAGTGTCATCTACGCGAGCTCCTTGTTGTGTCGTCGGCTCTGAGCTCCCTGATCAGGACCTTGTTTTATTAATCTTTGTGTGCCTGGCAGCCAGCACTGAGTCCCACCCACAGAAGGTGCCAGCTCCATCTGGGATTTACATAACAGAATGCTCGGGGAGCCTGAACCAGGGCTGGAGGGTGGGCCATCAAGGAGGCTGGTGCTGGGCAGAGGCGAGTGCTCAGAGAACAGAGAGAAACACAGGGAGACGGCAGCATGTTTTACATTTTCTTCTTGTAATTTGAGACATATATGTAAACACATGTATGCACCCCAGTGGCAGGGAGAGGGAGGAGGGTAAGAGCCATTTCTATATTTCCTTAACCCATCACCCATTAAATAGGGTTAAGGTTAGGATCTAACTTCTCAGTTTGCCATGAAATTATCCCTGGCCATTTGTCCACACAATTTTCTCCAGCCATTTGTTGAGTAGATGATCCTTTCCCCATCGACTTGAACTCTGTCTTTTACCATCTTACAATTTTGTAATCTAAATGGTCAGACGTAACCGCAGGAAAGTTCCTTGATGCAAGTCCTTATTTAATCAATGGAGATGCTATCTGCCCTATAGCACATTTCCTAGTATTGATGCCAAGCAATAGGAACACACACTTGAGAAAAGTGAAGACCAAGTGCTTTTACAAAACAAGAGAGACCGGTAACTCATGGATTCTAAGGCTCGGCAAGAACACAGAGAACGCCTGTATCTCAAGGCTGTAAGCACGTCTGTTCATCTGAAAAGTCTGTTGGAATATACTGGGAAAATCTCCAAGCCCGAAGGCCACATCTGAGAGACATAGTGCCAACAACTGGATGCTAGGGGTTTGAGCCTGGGTGTCAGTAGGAGGGAGAAGGGAGGGACAGCCACCAGTGAGTGAATGGGGTGTCCACCTGGTGCCATTTGTTCCTGTGAGTTCAAGAGGATGCCTAGTGTCCGGGGCTCTGTGAAGCTAACTTTCTCATACAAGAAGTTACAGAGCACAGTGGTTCTTCCCTGGAGGAAAATCCAAATTGCTTGGTTTGGTGCCACAGTTGCACAAAGGGGAATTCCGCATTGGCTGTCGGAGATCAGCCCTTCCGCTGTGGTTTGGAGTGTGTGAGCAGCCACCATCCTTGGAAGGGCACCCAGTCCAGTTTGCACAACCCCAGGGTCTCACTCCACCTCGGCTCCTCCGAAGCGTCTGACCACCACGCCTTTCTGAAGTACCCCCACCACCAGGCCAAAGCCAGAGGAGCCCAGAGGAGGACACTGCCTTCAGTCCCTGTCCCAGCCCCCACCCAGCCACACTTCCTCTATGCGATGCCCGTGGAGCCTCTTGTGGCAAAGCCCCCAAGAAAGCCACTGCTCAGGGAGCCAAGGGAGGTTATTCAAGGGAACACTAGACATTTCAGACTAAATGTCCTGGATAAGAAGAAATGAAACTCCTCTTACCAGGCTTTCAACAAATAACTACTGATGGTAAATAGGAGTCAGGCCTCCCAAAGATTCTGCATCAGCACAGCTGTCTCCCTTCCCCAGGTGGACACAATCCCGCAATCCCACCTCTCCTGCCTGCTCCCTGCACTGACCCTGGCTGAGCCCTGAGTCCTGCGACCCTGGATTCCTCGCCCTCACTTTGTAGCCCCAGTGCCACCCCAAGGGTTCTACTCATCACCGGATCCCTGGCTTTTTCTTCACAAAGAATTCTTCAGTGCACCCACTGCTCTCAATTTCTGTCCTCACTACCAATGACTGCTTCGAACTTCTGTCTTGTCTCCCGTGGACTAAAACAATAATGTTTAGTTGGTCTTCTAATATCCATTCTCTGCTGTCCTCCATGCTGTGGTCAGAGTACTCCCCCCAATCTGGTTATGCCTGTCCTTCTGCTTAAACTTTTCAATGACTTCCCGATTTCCTTAATACTGCTTAGGCTGTCTTTTATCGTTTGACCCTGCCAATCACTTCCACTTCAACTCCCAGCCCACTCCACTTTCCTTTGTAATCTAGCCTCATTAGTTTTCTTTTCTTCAAATGAGTCATGGTTTCTACTACCACAGGGCCTTTGCACATGCAGTTCTCCCTTCCTGCTCACTCTCTCTCTGGCCTTCGGCTTTCAGTTCAGATGCTACTTCCTCCGATGAGTTTTTACTGGTTCCTCAGTCCAGGTCAGGTCCTCTGGCAGGTCATTTCAGCTAGCTTTGTTGGTTTCCCTCCTCCTCCCTCCTCTCCGATCCTTCCTCTTTCTTTTCTTTTTCTTTCTGTTCTCCCTCCCTCCTTTTTCTCTTTCTGGTGGTGCTGGGGATTAAACCCAGGCCTTTGCTCTGATCTATACCCCCATGCCCTTTTATTTTCAGGCAGGGTCTCCATAAGTCACTATGTTGTCCAGGCTGGGTATGAACAACTTGTGATCCTCCTGCCTCAGCCTCCCAGAGTGCTTAGATTACAGGTGTGCGCCACCATACCTGGCCCTTGTTTCTTTCTTATATGGTACTTATATCCGTTCGTAATTTCTCATGCGGCCATTTGATTATTTTTGGTCCCCCTCATTACTACAGCCAGCCCAGGGCAGGACCACATCTGGTCTGGATCATCATTGTTTGCTTATTACGTGGCACAGTTCCGGGCACATCCAACGTTCTCACCGCATAGCTGTCGGCTGACCGAATGGGCTGAGGGTCTGCTTCCTAAACGGTCCATACCCGAGATGCTACAGTCTGTTGGAGTTCCACATCATGTAAAGTAGAGGATAAATGCTTGGGGGAAACAGCTAACTTCACAAACCATATGCCTATTCCCACGATAGCTTTTCTAGTTTTTACAAAATTGATCTGGTTACTAATCAGTGCTCTCCCATGCAATGTGAAATCCCTACGATTGGTGGAATTTTAAAAGTGTCTTATTTCTAGGATGCCAGAGGAGGGGCTTTAGATATGATCCAGTCCATACTCCTATTTTACAGGTGGGTAAGCAAAAGCCTGGAGAATAAAATGACTTTCCCAGGTCCTAACTCAGGTGGAATCAGAACCCAGTTCTTCTTCTTGAATCCTTGA